TTTTTGTATTTTTAGTAAAGACAGGGTTTTGCCACATTGGCCAGGCTGGTCTCGAACTCCAGATGATCACACACCTTGGCTTTCCAAAGTGCTGGATTATAGGCATGAGCCACAGCACTTGGCCAAGTTTTAAATATATATATAATTAAATATACACATCAGGGAATTAAAAAAAAGGAGACAAAAAGATTAGAGGTCATAAAAAGCTTTAACTTTTCATTTTGTACCTTTATGTATTGTCTGAGTTTTCTAATCATATGTATGCACTGTTTTCCTCTAAAATGATAAACAGAGATTGTAGAAGCTAGCCTGAAGGTGATTCCAACCTCCTGGTACTCCCACCCTTGTATAGTTCCCTCCTACACTCACTGTACTATAGCTGGTCTCTGTGACCAAAAAAATTCTAACCTTAAGTGATGGCATGCCATTTCCAATGTTAGGTTATAAAAACATTGTTGATTTATCTCTTGGATCACTCACTCAGAGAGAAATCAGCTGCCATGAAAAGACCAATGTGGCTTAACATAGCCAGCACACAACCACTTGAGTGAGCTTGGAGGTGGATCTTCTGGCTTCAATCAAGCCCTGAGATTACTGCAGACTTAAGACAACAGTTTGACTGCAACTTCATTGGAGATCCTAAGCCTGAGGCAGCCAGCTGAAATGTGCCCAGAATATTAACCCTCAGAAACAGTAAGATAATAAATATCTGCTGTTTTAAGATGCTAAATTTTATGGCAATTTGTTATACAGCAATAGGTAACTAACACAGGAATTAATGTCCCTTTTTCTTTGTATTTATCGGTTTGTATTTTTTTTTTTGAGACGGAGTCTCACTCTGTTGCCCAGGCTGGAATGCAGTGGCGCGATCTCTGCTAACTGCAACCTCCGCCTCCTGGGTTCAAGCGATTCTCTTGCCTCAGCTTCCTGAGTAGCTGGGATTACAGACACGCACCATTAGTTCTGGCTAATTTTTGTATTTTTAGTAGAGACGAGGTTTCACCATGTTGGCCAGGCTGGTCTTGAACTCCTGACCTCATTATCTGCCCACCTTGGCCTCCCAGAGTGCTGGCATTACAGGTGTCAGCCACCGCGCCTGGCCTTTATCTGTATTTTTAAAGAAACCTATTAAGTTTTATTTTTATATTACTGTGAATGTTTCTGTGAAGGTAACTCCCACTAAATAATTCTGACACAAATAAAGCATTTTACTTACTTGGGACTCTTATCTGATAGTGATTCAGTGCCGTAAGGGCTTCTACTGCATCAGTTTTGCACTCCCATTCTAATAGCCCAGAAAGTGTTTTGGCTGAAGCTAAAAGGAAACAAAGAAACACAAACTCAGTTGTTACTTGCTTATGACCAACTTCACCAGAAAATTTTAAAAGAGGGACTGTTCACTTACGTTTCGCATCAAACACTTTATATTTGATGAAGGTAAGAACTTCATGGTCATTACACAACTGCCAAAGAAGGTAAAACTTCATTAAAAATATAGCCAGAATAATATGCCACTTTTATACAGAAAGTAAACTTTATGGCAGAATTTAAGTTTTGATTCTGGAATGAATAGATTAAATCAAGTATGTTTTTAGATTAATATCAAGCTGTCTGAGAAATCAATTAAAAATAGTAAAATTCTATAAACTATGTAAGGTAACTTAGTGCCATACAATAAAACCACAGATTTGTTAACTGAAATATATATTCTCAGAGTTGACCAGGATTTATCTAGTACCTAAGGTAGGGAGTAGAGTTCCAGAAAATTATTTCTTATCTGAAGTATTTCTTACAGTTCCTACTTAGAATCTTCTAAGTTAGGGGAAAAGACTGAGATATATAAAATTTTGTTACGGGTGAGATTTAAAGACGATTCTTTAAATAACTTTCTTTATGCTGGAGTAAGACTACTTCATTCTAAATCCAACTCTCAAAAGGACTGAGCCATAAATCAACAAAGACCAGTGAGGAATGGAGGCGAGAAAAGTACAATGGTCAAAGAATAAACTATCAAGTACTCAGTAAATAAAATACTAGTAGTACCAAAAGCAAAAGAATGAGCAAGAAGACTTCAAAATGAAGCGAAGATGTATTTTAAAATAGGAAAACAGCGACATTTTACACACATTTGTATTTCAGTGCCTACCTTTGTGAAGGTCTCTTCTGTGACACACAATGGAACATTATAATAATGCAAAACACAGGAGGGTGGCTGGATTATATTCTTAGATGCTTGGCCAGCACTTGTAAAGCGATTATTTTTGCTCATTGCAAAATCTTTGTAGCTACTCGTACCATCCTCCAGCTCAAATATTTGACTTGGAACAACTGAATGCTGTTTAGACACGCTAAAGATTGAAAAGACATACAAAAACACCTTGTTAGATAAAAAGCAAGTAGTCTCAGAATGCTAATATATTTTGCTTGCATAAATCTTAACCAAAAAAGTCGTATGTAGAGCTATTTAAATAGAGGATTTAGTTTAGGTTATAATCAATCACTCTTGTAGTTTAGGCATCAATTAGAAAGAAAAATCTATTAAATATATTCTCATATTAGAAAACTTTAACATAAAAACTGGCCCGCTTTAACATGTTTTATCATCGTAAGACTAAAAAGCAGGTACAGCTAAGCAAAATCTGAGTGACACGACCCCAACCCTTGTCTAAAATAACAATACTACAGCTGTTGTTTCAGATATGCCCTCAGTTACATTAAAATGTTCTCAGGTTGACATTACTGTCTCTAATAAAAAGGACGAGGATTTTAAAATATTCTTTAAAAATTATCACTTAAGATAGATAATTACCAAACATTAAGTCTTTTCCCAAATAATTTGACATTATTAAGGTGTGTGACAGCTCTTTCTACAGCATACTCATCACCCATTTCTACCAGTGCTGTACCAGGAATGGTCTTCATAAATTTTACCTGTAAACACAAAATCCCAAAAAGGTGACCATTTAATTCCCTTTTACAGTAACAGAATTTTTTAAAGACAATATGACCTAAGTGGTTAAACTAAAATACAGATCACCTGGAATCTTAACTATATTCTGCCATGTTATAAGATACCCTTTAACTCTTATCAAAATTCAACAGTTAAAAGGGAACCTATACTACTATTGCAGAGCACACTGAAGAACAGCACAGGCTTATCCTGTTATGTATTAATTGTGTGATCTGAGGGCAATATACTTAACCTCTCTGAGTCATGGACTGTCTCTGAAAATACAAATAATAACACCTGGCAGGACTCATTAATATTTATTCTATCAACAAATATTTATTGTGTCTAATATATTTTGATAAGCACTGTGGTAGGTACTAGGGATTTAATGGTGAATGTTAACAGATATTATCTTCTTGAATTTTATATTCTAGTAGTTAAGTCAGAAATTTAAAAGTAAACAAAATAGTAATTACAAACTACATAGAATTCTGTTAATGCAATAAACAAGACAAGATGTTATATAAGAAATAATACAAAACAGCCTTGAGATAGCATAGTCACAGGAAGGCTTGTGGAACATAGGGAAATACAAGTTATTTCAGGACAGTTTGGGCAGACGCCATACTTATCCTCTTGTACTATTTCCAGTTTTAGAATATAATGCTATAAGAGTTAGAAGGTGTAAAAATCATTCAGCATAGTGCTTTGCCATTGCGAAGTCCCTAAGCAGCTATTAAGTACAGTAGTTCCCCCTTATCTTTGAGGGATAGATTCCAAGAACCCCAATGGATGCCTGAAACTGCAGACAATGTGTGGTGCAGTGGGTCACACCCATAATCCCAGTACTTTGAGAGGCCAAGGTGAGATGCTTGTTTGAGACTAGGAGCTTGAGATCAGCCCAGGCAACATAGTGAGACCCCATCTCTACAAAAAAATACAAAAATCAGCTGGACATGGTGGCACACACCTGTAGTCCCAGCTACTCAGGAGGCTGAGGCAGGACTGCTTGTGCCCAAGAGTTAGAGGCTGCAGTAATCTATGATTGTGCCACTGCACTCCAGCCTGGGCAATAGAGCAAGGCCTTGTCTCAAAAACAAACAAAAAAACTGCAGATAGTACTAAAACAGAGGAAGAGAGGAAGAGAGGGAGGGAGGGAGGCAGGGAGGTACATACATAGAGGTTAAGCACAGTATATACTATATATAAGCATAGTATATATACACTGCTTTTTCCTATACATACATACCTATGATAAAGTTTAATTTATAAATTAAGCACAATAATAAACAAAATAAAATAGAAAAATTATAATGATCCACTATATTAAAAATGATGTGAACATGCACGCACTTGGTGCTCTCTCTCTCTCTCTCACAGTATCTTACTTTACTGTGACCTCTTGCTAGAGCAGCTCACAGTGAGTAACTGAAAGCAAAACTGTGGATTTAGGGAGGACTCCTTTACCAATGGCGTAGATGACACCTTGAACATATTTCCTAATCTATTTACCTCAAAAGAATACTGAGAACGTATTTACACAATAAATGCAATAAGGCATCTATTTCCATCACTTCAACTACCCATTTTAATAGGATACTACACCTGTGCTTGAACAAAACTCAGTCATTACAGGATTTTTCAGCTTTATTTGAAATCTCTTGTCTTCTTATGTGCAAAATTCCTCTCCCTTGATTTAATCAAATGTCTATCTACAAATCTAATAGTGACTAAGTATATAATTTAAGTATGTAGTTCCTGTATTGGTAAATCTAAAGAAAGTTGGAAAAAACTAACTATATATAGATTTTTAAAGGATTATGATAGTTTGAGTTCAACATATCACAGCATATCATTTAAAATGTTTAAAAAAGTATGAGACATAAAGAGACAAAAATTAGTCAAATAACATACAGAAAATGTTTTATTAGAAAAAGTAATTTGAATTTCTAAATCATATGAGACAATTCGTTCATAACAAAAAAGACAAAGATCTACTGAAGATGTTGATTAAATTGCCTGATTTTGTCTGCATATGTGAAAAGCACCAAAAGAAAATACTCTATAAAGAAAGTTAAAATATACATTAAAGCCCATTTAATTATCAAACGTGCAGTTCCCTAGACCTAACACTTGGGTCTAAGATAAAGTGTCTGTGTGAAAATAATCTGAACTACTTCTCCCAATGTCACTAAACCTATCCCATGTATTCTTGACCAATTACATAGGCAAAAGTATCCCATATGTTTTATCCCCCAAACCAAACGTGGAGTTTCCTTTTTTTTACTGCGATCAAATGGTTGACAAAATTCTTGTTTCAGAATTCTGAAGAGTTGCTTCCTTAGATCAAGGAGGCTATACAATTAATGAACTAAGAACTAAATGTACCAACTTTTCAAGCCATGTTCCCCTCCCACACACAGTGACTCACATGTTCTAAGTACTTATTGTTGCAAAGTACACTAAAATCACTTAAAACAACAGGACAAAAACCACATTATTGCAGTACTAAAACTCAAATTAGCAAGTGTATCAAACAACTGGTAACTTAAGACTACCAGTCATTTTCCTAGTTAAATTTTCCATGATTCTTTCAAAAATGATTTATCTCATATTTGTGAGATATCAATAAATAAAATGTCACAGATTTGGGGAAACCAGTTATTTGATAAAAAATAAAGATACAATTGTTAAAGGCCTTCAAAATATGTAAAACTCCGGACAGTTTTGGACACATTCTATCAAAGTGAGTCAGTCTGGAACACTGATTGAGCTAAATGAACCCTGGCATTTAGGAGGCAAGTGTATAAATTCTAAAACTCTTTTGAAATTCATGACTTCTGGCTAGGCTCTGAAGCTTGTTTTTATATATACTTCCCTGAAAGTAACTGCTCTTTCAACATGTTAAATGCTAGAATCTCTTTGAAATGAGAGCACTAAAACATAGACTTCATGCCTATCATACTATAGTAGTTGATTAAACTACTGCTTTAGACTTCTTTTCATATCAGCCATTTAAAAA